ACATTATTTCCATCTCTATGTGAAGTGCCTTGGCAACACTAAACACCTTTCACAAAAATGAAATTGAACATTTTAGCTGAGTCCAACGAAACCGATATAAAGTTATAACCAACTTCCTATGTCTTCAACACTCTCTGAGACTGAGGAATTTAGCTAGGAGGTTTTAAGGCAATGAAATGTTGACCCAATCACAGTGTAGATGTTTGTTCCTGGCTTGGTAACATACTTCTCTTTGAAGGGAAAACGAGGTGATGGTATTTTCTTCTCAGCCCCAGGTCTTAGACACTGGTGGTTCTTTAGTTGCTAAGTCGTGTCCGACTCTTATGACCTCCTGCACCGTAGCCTGCTAGATTCCTCTGTCCATAGGATTTCCCAGGCGAGAATCCTGGAGTGAGTTGCCGTTTCCTTCTCCAGGGGATTCTTCCAGACCCGGGATCAGAGCTGTGTCTCCAGTATCGGCAGGCAGATGCTTTGCCGCTGACCAACCACAGAAACCCCTTGACACAATAAAACACAAAATTCTCAGAGGTTGGCAAATTCTTACTGCAAGGATTCAAGCCAAACTGACTGGGTTCAAATCTCAGCCCCAGTTCTCACTGCATCACCCAGGTCAAGTTGCTTCATCTTCCTGTGTGTTCGTTTCCTGATCTGTCACATTAGGATGATAACAGTGATTTGCCTCTCACTGTTGTCCTGGGGAGTAAAGCTGCAAGAGGAGCGTCCTAAGCAGCACATTCATGGCTTGTCCGTAGCCTGTAAGCTCAGTGAGGACAGGGGTCTGCCTTGCTGACTCTGTGTCTCCAGCACTTAATGACGCTATTCATGCCTGGCACAGAGTGGGCAGGACTGTTGCAGGAAGAAAAGAACCCCCAACAAACTAGTCTTTAGATTAAATCATGACTAGGTTCAAAGCCAGCGTGAACAAACATGGCTGTCCGTTTCCTTTACATTTTTTTAATGACTTGACTTTGCTAGGTAAAAGTTAGCAGGAGTCTTTGCAATTATAACTTGAAGTATAATAATGGAAATGAGTGACCGTTGGTATTTCAGTGCTCCTGACCATAGTGGGTGTTAGTACAGAGATGCCGCTGGAGCTCACAGCACACGGCTTTACATTGCTGCTCTTCTTTAGTCGCTAAGCTGTGTTTGACTCTTTTGTTACCCCATGGACTGTAGCCCACCAGGCTCCTCTATTCATGGGGTTTTCCAGGAAACAATACTCGAGTGGGTTGCCATTTCCTTCTCCAGGGGATCTTCTCCTGCATTGGCAGGCAGATTCTTTACTCCTGGGGCCCCTGGGAAGCCCACAGCTTTAGGTTTTTTTGCTGTTCTTAAAGGAGGCTGCTTATATAATTCATTTGAAAATGCCTTTCATCCTCTTTTTTTTAAGCTAAGTCTCTCATCATGACATAGATTTTCTCTCCGAAAGTTTATTTTTACCAAACTTGGGTCATATTTAATGCTTGTATTCTAAATCCAAGTCAGTGTTTAGTGGCAACAGCTGCCAGGAGTCACTGGAATAAATGAAATATGGTCCTGTTTAGCTGGCAAGATTGCATTCGATGTCCATACTCCAGCGCCAACGGGCTCTCTAAGAGCAACAGAGAAAGGGCGACCTATTCCCCGGGACTGAGCTTGTATGGAGAGGAGCATATACAGGAAGTATGGGGACCTTTGGGACAAACAGCTTTTACAGATGGGTCATGTCCTGGCTTCCCAGAGGCTGAATCCGTGTATTCCCAAGAATACCACCTAGACAACTGTCATAGCTTGGCAGAAAACCATTTTCAAAGCTTTATTGGATTTGTGATCATATTTATTCAGGGTGTTGATGAACGGATACTCCTCTATATATAGCAGAGCACCACGGTTCTAATCTTTCCCCCTGGCTTGTGCTGCATGCAATTATTTACATTAAGATTAAGCATCCCACCGAATTGCACAGCGGCAACTCATGCAGCCACCCCCTCAGAAAGCTCTGTCTGCAACCATACACCTACCAAAGCATCCTTTAAACAGCCCAGTAATTGGAGAAGCCAAAAAGAAGCATGGTTTTTGTTTTAATGTAGAATTCCCTGCATGGTTTATGTAAAACAATTGCAGTACGTTTTCAGTAAGTTTCTTCAGCTTACCATCAAAATAATTTTCAGACGTATTAGTCTGATTTGTAATTTTCTCCATGTCTAGAATTGAATGTCTGATGCATTTTGGTGAAGTTTGTAAATGAAACATTTGCTCCAGTTTAAAATACCTAGGGATTTGACTGTTCAGTAAACCAGACTATACATTGAACTGGAAACTAAAGAGTTAAAGAATGCTGTGAGGTTCAGTACACTGCAAAGACTGTTTTTCCAGGAACCCATCGGTAAAATTTAGTTTTGATGTTGATCATGAAGTAGGAATTTGGCTCAAAATGGCAACAATAAAGAGAAAAAAGATTTGCTCTGAGATAGCTTATACAAAAAGTTTGATGAGCCTGGACATATGGTACAATGCGCTGATGTTTAATTTTCTATTGAAATAATAGCTAAAAATGTGTTATATATGAGAAAGTATGTGCAAAGCATCTTATATGTATTATTTTATTTCACCATTGAGTAGTAGTAGTATTCTCATTTAATGACAGAGAAAAAGAGGAGAATAGAGATTTGTAAAGGTCATGTAATTTATTGTGATTATTTTATATTTTAATTGGAGGATAATTGCTTCACAGGGCTGTGTTAGTTTCTGCCATACAACACAAATTGGACATATATATATATATATATCAGTTCAGTTCAGTGTACAGTTGGTCTGACTCTTTGCAACTCCATGGACTGCAGCCCACCAGGCCTCCCTGTCCATCACCAGCTGCCAGAGATTGCTGAAACTTATGTCCATCGAGTCAGTGATGCCATCCAACCATCTCATCCTCTGTCAATCCCTTCTCTTCCTGCCTTCTATCTTTCCCAGCATCAGGGTCTTTTCTACAGAGTCAGTTCTTTGCATCAGGTGGCTAAAGTATTGGAGCTTTAGTGTCAATCCTTCCAATGAATATTCAGGACTAATTTCCTTTAGGATTGACTGGTTTGATCTCCTTACAGTCCAAGGGACTCTCAAGAGTCTCTTCCAGCATCACAGCTCAAAAGCATCAATACTTTGGAGCTCAGTTTTCTTTACAGTGCAACTCTCACATCCATACATGACCACTGGAAAAACCGTAGCCTTGACTAGATGGACCTTGGTCGTCAAAGTAATGTCTCTGCTTTTTAATATGCTGTCTAGGTTGGTCATAGCTTTTCTCCAAGAAGCAAGCATCTTTTAATTTCATGCCTGCAGTCACCATCTGCAGTGACTTTGGAGCCCCAAAAATAAAGTCTGTTACTGTTTCCATTGTTTCCCCATCTATTTGCCATAAAGTGATAGGACCAGATGCCATGATCTTAGTTTTCTGAATTTTTCATTTTAAGCCAGCTTTTTCACTCTCCTCTTTCCCTTTCATCAAGAGGCTCTTTAGTTCCTCTTTGCTTTCTGCCATAAGGGTGGTATCATCTGCATATCTGAGGTTATTGATATTTCTCCTGGCAGTCTTGATTCCAGCTTGTGCTTCATCCAGCCTGGCATTTCACATGACTTGCTCTGCATATAAGTTAAATGAGCAGGGTGACAATATACAGCCTTGTCATACTCCTTTCCCAATTTGGAACCAGTCTGTTATTCCATGTCCGGTTCTAATGTTGCTTCTTGACCTGCCTACGGATTTCTCAGCAGGCAGGTAAGGTGGTCTGGTTATCCCATCTCTTTAAGAATTTTCCACAGTTTGCTGTGATCCACACAGTCAAAGGCTTTGGCATAGTCAATAAAGCAGAAGTAGATGTCTTTCTGGAACTCTCATGCTTTTTCTGTGATCCAGCAGATGTTGGCTATTCGATCTCTGTTTCCTCTGCCTTTTCTAAATCCTGCTAAATGAAATAAGTCAGAAAGAAAAGACAAGACTGGAATTCAAAAGTAGGAAGTCAAGAGATACCTGGAGTAACAGGCAAGTTTGTCCTAGGAGTACACACACACATATATGTATATATGTATACACACACACACACATATATCTCCCCTTCCTCTTAAGCCTCCCTACCAACCCATGCCATCACACCCTCTTTTAATTTGCCAGAGATTGCAAAGGTAGTAAGTAGCATAGCCAAGATTCAAACCTAAACAATTTGCCTCTGGAGCCTGAATTCTTGCCCAAGACATAAGCCTAAGTTTACTAAATACAACATTGGCAGTAAACATGTTTCAGTTAAATACAAAATGAATTACGTATGGACAACTTATAAATGGAGCTCTATTATAAGTAGTATAACAGATAATGAAATTGCATTCAGAATGCACAGAAACACTTGCCTTATGCCCCTTTTGTGTGTTAATTCACTTCAGTCATGTCCGACTGTTTCCAACCCCATGAACTGTAGCCTTCCAGGCTCCTCTGTCCGGGGGATTCTCCGGGCAAGACTACTGGAGTGGACTGCCATGTCCTCCTCCAGAGGATCTTCCCGACCCTGAGCCGGAACCTGGCTCTTTCATGTCTATTGCATCGGCAGGCAGCTTCTTCACCACCAGAGCCACCTGGGGAGCCCTTATGCCCCTAAAAAAGCCATTCTAAGTCTTTAGAGAGCAGAATTTCTGGCACTGATGGCTTCACATCACCCTATAAACTCTGTTTGGTTTTGCATCCAAAATTAGTATTTCTTCATCTTATTTGAGTGCATTGACCAACAAACAAAATCTTTGTAAGTACTGTCATTCTTTTTTAAAAAATATGAACCAAACTAATCTGACCTTCAAAAAGTTATGAAAATTGACTGCCATCAGGCAGCAAGTTGGCAGCAAAAGTGAAATTCAAACCCAAGTTTTATCATTTCAAGTCTAATGAATTATTTCCACCTTCGGCTATTAAGGGGACAGAGTGGGAACAAAGCTAGCTTGTGAAATCTCAGCGCTGTGTTTCTTCTTTCTGCTCATAGGTCGCTACCCCCAGGAGAATAAGGGAACCTACATTCCAGTCCCTGTGGTCTCTGAGCTGCAGAGTGGCAAGTGGGGCGCCAAAGTGATCATGAGAGAGGATAGGTCTGTCCGGCTGTCTGTCCAGTCTTCTCCAGACTGCATTGTGGGGAAGTTCCGCATGTACGTGGCTGTCTGGACCCCCTACGGGGTCATCCGCACCAGCCGAAACCCAGAAACGGACACATACATTCTCTTCAACCCTTGGTGTGAAGGTAAGGGTCTGGTATTTATTATCTCACTATGAAAATAGTTCATATATTTCTAATTCATCTCTTTTTGGATCAATAGCAAAATTATTCTAGAAGACATGTTCCTTTCCTACATCCACTTTCCATGTTTTAAGGACAGAAAATGATGCAAAATTTGCTTTCAGTTTATGAGGCTATAACTTGAAGTTAATGCTGCTATAAATTTATTCCAAGAAATAATTGAAGATTGCCTAGAATTGCACAATTAGCTAATTGTGATGTTAATATGCTGATGGTATTGCCTCTGTGTATGTTATTTCTCTGTTAACAAAATGGGTTTCTTTGCCTTGACTTTCAGAATTGTTAGGATCCAGAAGATAAGACATATAAATATACTAGGTGTTAGTCACTTGATTGTATCTGATTCTTTGTGACTCTGTGGATTGTAGCCCCCCAGGCTCCTCTGTCTGTGGAATTCTCCAGGCCAGAATACTGGAGTGGGTAGCCATTCCCTTCTCCAGGGGGATATGATGGAATACTATGCAGCCATAAAAAATAACATAATTTTACCACTTGCAGCAACATGGATAGACTTGGAAGGCACGCTAAATGAAATAAGTCAGAAAGAAAAAAGGCAAATACTGTATGATATCACTTATATGTGGAATCTAAAAAATATTACAAACTGGTGAACATACAAAAAACAAGCAGACTCTCAGAGAACAAGCTAAGGATTACCAGTGGGGAAACGGAATAGAGAGGGGCAATATAGAGGTAGGGAATCAAGAGGTGCAAACAATTAGGTATAAAATAAGCTACAAGGACGTATTGTATAGCACAGGGAACATAGCCAATGTTTTATAATAACTATAAATGGAGTGCAATGTTTAAAAATTATGAATCACTATATCATATATGTACACCTGTAATTTGTATAATATTGCACAGCAACTGTGAAGGTGAAGGTGAAGGTGAAGTCGCTCAGTCGTGTCCGACTCTTTGTGACCCCATGGACTATATCCCACCAGGCTCCTCCATCCATGGAATTTTCTGGGCAAGAGTACTGGAGTGGGTTGCCATTTCCTTCTCCAGGGGATCTTCCCAACTCAGGGATCTAACCTGGGTCTCCCGCTTTGCAGGCAGACGCTTTACCATCTGAGCCAAAACTATTAGGATTCATAATCTGGCTTCAAAAAAATAAAATAAAGTTGACCTTGTCTACAGTGAAACTAACTTATATCTCCTTAATTCAAGTACAGAAAGCATAAGTCTAATGAATTCTGAAAGTTTGTTTAAATGCACAGTGGGTGCAAACTTTATAAATCATAACTCTGGATATGCAAACATGTAACTTTAATATAATACAGCTTAATCTCTACTGCTATTTTGAGTCTTTCCTTCTGGCTGCTGCAGAAGCTTAATCCAGTTATATTCAAATAAACTTAGTCAAGTCCAAGGATTTCTCTACCAATCCAATTTAAGAACTCCATCACACGCAGTATTTTTCCCTGTCCCCATCTCTGCCCTTCCTTATTTCTGCCTCCATACTTGGTGCGAGGCCGATCTTAAGCTTCAGAGGCAGATGCGAACATTGCAGTGGCAGTCAAGGGAGAGAGTCCCCTTTTAGATCTTAAGAGATAAGGTGATGAAACATATAAAAGCTGACGTAAGACCCAAGATTCCCCACATCATCCTATTCCATATACATTGCTCTCCAATATCTTCCAAAATGAGTCTGTATTAACGCTGATTTTGAACATGAGAGTTGCACTTGAATCAGGGTGGATATGAACTTACATACAGACAATCAGTGAACAAAGTTTTCTGCTCGGGTATAACATAAATCTGGATCCTCCTGACCCTTTATTTGAGTTATCTATTCCAGTATTCGAGCTAATCCTATGCTCCCCGCCTGCCTCCTCCATCCTCTTATACCCACTAATCCTTATCTATGAGACAAGGTTCAAGGTTGATGGTAACAGCCTGTGGTTTGCCCAGCCTAGAACCCAAAGCACAGTCCAACACGGGGGCTGCATGATGAACCTCACACACAACCAGATACACTGTAACTTCACAGTCAGCAGTGTTATGCTTGCATGTGCAGTAACACAGAACGTAACACACGTAATTCATAACACGGGACTCTTAGAGATGTGATCTGGCAATTAAAAAGGAGATTAAAAAAGAGACCACTGCCCAAGTGGAAAAGATTACACAGGAGGAAATCAGAAGTTGTCAAAATAAAGCCAGGTAGGCAAGATGCTGCAAATACCACACACGCACCATGGAAGTGAAGTCCAAGGTGACTCAGGACACTGGACTGAAAATTACGCAGGCAAGTACAGCAGTGATTGATAAAGAATGTTCCACTGTGTTGCTGGGGGCCCTTTAGCTTGCTTTGCATTCGTAGGCAATTTATCCTCCTTAATCACTAAATCATTACTGGGGATCAATAGCCATACCGCGTTACTGAGGCCAGGGGTGGATGGAGGGAGAATTATTGGTTAGCTTTTTTATTTAATTGTGCTAACAAGGCTTCAGATCCATCCCAGAAAGGAACCCTTCTCTGGGTACTGGAGAGACAACCGAACCCACAAAGGCAGCAGGAGAGTTGGGCGTTTAGTGTGAAGTCATCTCACTTTTCTGACCACTCAGGAACTCTGAATTGTTGAATGCATTTTCCTATTTCAGTTCAAACCTTTCCAGATTGGTCATCTAGGATTACTGCCAGATCGTGTACCTTGAAAGATGTCAATGTCCCAGCCTATGCTTAGTCCTTGGGGCAACATTTGACAGCCCTCTTTGATAGGACATCAGTCATTTTCACGGGGCTCGTCTTTTCTTAACCACTTGTTTCCCACCTCATTCCCCATCACCGATGCTCCCTGAATTCACCCAGACCTCATCCTAGCACAGTATCTCGTACACGCACGCTTGCTCAGTCACTTTGTCGTGTCCGACTCTTTGTAACCCTATGGACTGTAGCCCACCATGCTCCTCCGTCCCTGGGATTGTCCAGGCAAGAATGCTGGAGTGGGCTGCCATCTCCTTCTCCAGGGGATCTTGCCGACCCAGGGATCAAGCCTGCATCTCTGTGTCTCCTGCTTTGGCAGGTGTCTCAGTGGTCTGGTTCATACTTAATGTTTAATAAACGCTTGCTGCATTGATCTAATCATTCCAAGTGAATGCTCTCTAGGTTCAGTGCACCCATCACCACAGATAAGCTGTCAGTGTAACCCTATGTCTTACCAAGGAAGTCAAAGTCATGCACAGCGCGTGGGGGACGTGTGCTGTGGGCACATGTGTGTAGACTTCTCTCTTTTAGCATCTGATGCTAAACTAGCACCTGGTATTTCTAACATCTCCCCCAAGTGACTGATTTCTTTCCTTGTGTCTTTCTTTATTTTTTACCATTGGCCGCACTGCACAGCGTGTGGGACCTTTCTTTCCTGACCAGGGGTTGAAGCTGTGCTCCCTGCACTGGCAGCTTGGAATCTCAACCACTGAACCACCAAAGAAGCCCCGCTAACTTTTCATTCACTATAACTTTTGCATTTTCCTTTAAACAAAGAAATCTATCAGATTTAGTGTAAAGAAATCAATTTCCAATATCGGGATGCTTTTAATAGGAAGTAATTAATATGAACAAACTGTATATTATTTTGACATTCATTCTTATACTATTTGCTTCGTAATTATACGTGGTCTTTTAGACCCTTCAGTGCAGAACGAAGTGATGTACCAGGCCGGGTATTCCCGGGGTAACAACGACCGACACCCCTTCCTCTTAGAGACCGTTGAGCCCAGATCAGAATTTATACCCTCAGGCTAGAGCCATTCATTCATCAATCCACAAATAGTAATAGTATATCTCCCACAATGCTCATGACAGCATAATTACCCATGTGAACTACAGCACTATTATTTATTCATTCACACATATTAAGGATCAATGCTGAAGTAGGCACTGGGAATATATTAGTGAAAAAGACAGTCTTCGTCCTCAAAGAGCATCTGGTGACAGTTTCACAAGTGAGCTGCTAATAAACATGAATTACAACACTGAAAAGCTGGGAAAGGAGTCACGGCAGAACAAGAACATGTAATGGGGGCACTGGCCTAGTTGGGCAGTGGGGGCAACGGGCTAGTGGATTATCTTTGCACCCTCTGCGGCCCCTAGCAGTCAGATGATTGGCTAACTGAATTTTTAAGAAGTTTTAACAGAGCTTATGTGACAATTTGAAGCCCTTATGCATTCAGGCCTTGTATTTAATGAAATAGCATATATCTCTCTTGCAAGTATCTGAATCAGTAAAGGCCCATTCATCCTTACAGCAAATGAGCGTTATCTGGTGTGACATCAATCAGAAGGGAACCCAGGGAGCTCACAGTAGACATTATTTTCAGTGGCACATGGATGACCCCAGATTCAAGGTCTGAAGCTGTTTCTGGAAGGAGCAAGTTTGGACGGTCTATTCCAGAATTCAGCTGCCGATTCACTTCATTTAGAATTCCTGAGCTGGGTGGTTCATTTTTTTTTTTAGTCATTGGAGTACAATTGCTTTACAATGTTGTGTTAGCTTCTGCCATGCAACAGAGTGAATCAGCTGTGAGCATACATATATCCCCTCCTTCTTCACCCTTCCTCCTACATACCTTCAGAGGATGCTCAAAGCTGGTGTCTTCCTGCATTCTGTGTTTCAGAAAGCAGGATCCTTCTCTTTCAATCTAACATGGCACAGAGGTAAGGCTCGTGAATGTTTGCCGAACTGAATTAATAACCACCACTGCAAGAGGCAGGAAGGGGATTATCAGCTTCATATTTCAAAAGAAAAATCAGACCCTGTGGTATTACATAAAATTTTCAAGGTCATCCAGAAAATCAGGAAACAAGCTGGGGCTAAAACATGGATACACTGATGCAGGGCAAGATTGAGGACAGGAGGAGAAGGGGGCGACAGAGGATGAGATGGTTGGGTGGCATCACCGACTCAGCAGACATGGGTCTGAAGAAACTCTGGGAT